TAGCTCTATGAAGAAATATCTGGTTTGCTCATAACATGCTAGTGGCGTCAAACCCTCACCATAAACACAATGAACAAAGGTGTTCATCTAAACCTCCAAGGTACGAAAACGAAGTACAATCTATACCTATAACCACGCCCTCATTTTATTTAGCATACTACTAAGATTGTTCAGGCATTCTTCGCGTCCCAGAGAAAAATTGCAACAGGAGTTATCTTGCATACTTTATTAACTTCATATATTCCTCGTTATGTCCGAAAGCTAACTACCCTAAAAGACATTTCAACTACATTTTGTCACAAAACCGGTTACACAGTAAACGACTTATCTCTAAAAAACGAAGTCGCAATTTAAAAGGAAGATCACCTTGGAAGACGGGTCACATTTGAAAATCAACGATGGACGAGATAACAGCTCAAAATCAAAATCTTTCTCCTGACATTATCCTAAACCAGCCAAGAAAAAATATATTACTTATTCTCCCAAGAAGAGTTTGGCCTTCCACGATATAACAAGTACAAGGGAATCAAGATTTTTGCTGAAAATTATCTCCAGCCAAACCCGCGAAATTCAAACGAAGTTTGGCTTTCATTTTAGTTTACTGTATATCTTCTAATCCTCCTTTGTACTGTTGTTAATTTGCATCCTTTTCTTTTAAAAAAAAGAACAACAAAAAAGAACATTCTTATTAATTCACATGCTCAAAAGAAGAAAGTAAGATTTATTGCGGAGTTATTACAAATTTCAAAGAAACACAATGACTTACGAAGGTCAAGTTTCCATGCGGAAAAAAACGAGATGCAAATCACATGGAGTGGAAAGTTCGAGGCAAGCCCCTATCAAAATGCGCCTTCGTGTTTAGACGTTTCTTTTTACAATATTTTTCGATTAGAAAAATTATTTGCCTATCAAAAAAGTAGCCTTTTATAAAAATACTAACACTCATGCAACAATGATACCAGCTGTACGAAGAGGATATACTTTTCAAAAACTTGGAAGACGCGCCATAAAAGAGAGTGTCAGGGTCTTGCTTCCGAAGTTATCCCACGCCGAGCGGACCAAAAAGTACAAGTCGTTCAAGTCATTCGTCCATGGCGGATTTCGCTTGGCAGTAGAGCACTTTTTCAGAGTTTACATAGCCTCTTTTAAACACGAAGTGGGGGTGGGTCGAAGAATTCGAGACAGTTATGCAAACCCCAGACGCAGTCAAGTGTTTGTATAACTTCTGGAGAATTCTCCCA